GGTCTGTAGACACGTTTGGGATGTATTTTTGCTATCTCCTCTTTAATTGTGAGCATTTCCAGAGCATTTGGAATTCAAGCAATAAAATGTACGTTTTGCTATGTAACTGAACAAAATCTAGGAGAATATAGAAAATTATAAAATAATGGTAAATAAAAAAAGAAAGATGCACAGAAGCCTCTTATTAACAGAGGCTGAAGATAAGAATGTAACCTCTTGTGAGTTGTTTTGAATTTTCTGACCTAGCTGAGAGGTGGCAAACCTCTGCAGCCAGGTTGCTCTGTGCTGTGCTTGAGGTTTGGGGACTGGATTCACTCTCCTGGATTTGGCTGGACAATGTGACTCCCCTTTTGTGGATAAGGAGTGAGCAAGAGATTGCTGGATGGCTCTGGATTATGGTTATTGCGTGCTTAAGTTCAGCTGGCAGAAGAGGAACAATTTTTGCAGTTTTCTAGGAGTAAGAAAGTCAGTATTTTACCTGTGTACTATTGGTTATAGAAAACCTCTACCACCTACACTGACTACTGACCAAGGATGTCAGCAGAGTTTAAAGGATCGACTTAACCTTTTAATACTTTCTTTTAGATCTGAGCAGTCACCACCTTCTAAGCTGTGATTCAGTTTCCTTAAAATATTCAGTCTCTTTCCTTTTAAAAGCTTAATGAAAATTGCATTTCCCTCTGACCCTTTGCAACTAATATATATTTGTTGCTTTCATATTGCAAGATGAAAATATATTCTTGTAATTGGAAAATTCTGTCCTATTATATATACACCTCAAATGAGGCTACTTCACATATATTATGATGAAAAGTATGTTTCTGTGGTGTTTAAAAGAAGTTTCCAAGCGGTTTGTCATGAAGATCCCCTTCTGAGACTCTGCATAACAAGACTGAATTCAGGTAAAATAGTCACTTCTACCTGACAGTGCAAAGCTAATGTTAGTCAGTAAACAAAAATATATTGCTTTGCTGTTTTAGAATATAGCTGTGAATGACAGTCCTGAGAATCATGTTCTGCACTTTTAAGCATTTTCAAAGCAAGGTGTGTAGCAGGGGGGAAATTTAAGCAATACTACTGCAAATCAGTGGAGAACACACCATTAGATAAAAGCCTTACTAATTGCCTCCTGAGCCTCTGTATTAGCATAATTATTTTATATTCTGGTTTTGAGAAGTTATTGTGGAAAACTTTTAACATTTGCTTGAACAAATGTTGAAATAGTATGGTGTTATGTTCTGCTTTTTTTATCAGCACTAAAAACACATGTGGTGCTGAAGGTGTTCTGAGTAGCACAGTGACATAATTGTGATACAAACCTTTCATTTTTGTGTCTTGTCTGCATGTCTTTAGGACCATGGTTGGATGAAGTGCACTGTAATGTGATTTTTCTTTTTTTGTTGTTGTTGGCCAGTAAACAGTTTGAGTGTGTAGATGCATACTTATGTTTCACATTTAAGTTTGTATATATTTGGTGGTGTAGAGGTATATATACACACAAATATACATAATTTAGGTCTGTAAGCAAAGCTGTGGTACATTCTATTGATGTATGATCTTGAAATCTCAGTGCTTCCCTTTGTCTGTATCTCCAACTGAGTATTCAGTGCTACCCAGTATAGAATGGCATGTGACAACTTCTTGCCTAATTATCACTTTTGCAACTGCCTCTTGATTAACATATATAGAAACACTCAGTGATGGGTGTTAACTGATTAACTTCTTTTTAGAAAAGGCACACAGTGTAGTACAATTGAGGCCTGATACTGGAGGATTAAATTTTGGTTTTTCAGAAAGATGAAAGCAAAAAAAGCCACCTCTTCCATAGCAAAAGGGGACAGTGCTAAGCCCTATTCTCACAGCCACTTCCAACAGACATTAGCAAGCCTGCGAAGTGCAGGCAGGTCAGGACAGTCCTGAAATATCCTGTCAGAGTTCTAGCTGGTATGGTCTTGATACTTTAGTTTAGTTGCCAGGATATCATTATCAGCTAGTAGATATACAATTGTTACTTGGCAAGAAAATCTGATCAAAATACATTGGGAGTAGATCTCAGAAGAAGGGACGAAAGAGCTGACTGGATCTTTCTGGTCATCTTCATCTCTGACCATACTCAACTGAGGAGGTACATGACTTCTGGAATAGTGTTCTTTTTTTACCCTTAAGTGCTAGCTTTTCTTCTTTAAAACAATTAAAAATACAAACAACTCTTGTTAAGGAATATTTGGAAATGTCTTTGATCATTTGAGGCAACTGATACACTGTAATTTTTCCAGAAAGTGAAGATGAGTTTTATTTTTCACTTTGTATTTTTGATTATTTGTGGTTTTATAGTGCGAGGCAGTGCTCCTAGATCTATGTAATTGCTGTGTAGCTGAAAAGGAAAGTGGTGATAAGGCAGTTCATGACTAGGATTGTTTAGTGAAATGTGGCCATGTCCTTCAGTTCTGCTTGTGCTGTTCTGGTTTTTTCTCTCTAGGAGGCGTGTCAGAGAAAGTCTGTTCAGAGATCTTAGGTCTCAGAGAGTGCACCATGATGGTGCTCTTATGTACACTCATAATTTCTACTGTACCATTTTAGTAGGCTGACCCACAGATTTAAATCCCTTTACCTTCTTCTATAAGTGATCACATAAAACTGTTTGCTCCATGATATGAAACAAGGGGAAAAGCATATTTTCATGCATATATTTTCTATCATGCTGAATTGCTGTAGCATAAAGTGATGTTTCAAGTCCAGATTAATGGGTTCTACCACCCTCTCTCCCCACCCTGCTATCCCCCACGTTTATTTTGGTAGTTCTTGTGTAGTTACTAGAATTGCAGTGTGATCAAATTTAAACCCACAGTTATCACTGAGGGATTCCCTGTAATGTTGTTGAAGAAAGGTGTTCCTTGGTGCAGGCCCCTTGGGAATCAAGGGGAGCAGCAGCCTTGGAGCTGGTGTGTAGTGGGGAGGTAGGGCTGGATAGCACCAAACATGGGTGCTAGGACAAGGAACAATGGGTAAAATTGGGAAAGAAGGGAAATTTAGATAAGATACACGGAAGAGATTCTTTACTGTGAGGGTGGTGAGGTACTGGAACAGGCTATCTAGAAAAGTTGTAGATGCCCCATCCCTGGCAGTGTTCAAGGCCAGGCTGGATGAGGCTTGAGAAGCCTGGTCTGGTGGAAGGAGGTTGGAACTAGATGATCTTTAAGGTCCCTTCCAACCCAAACCATTTTAAGATTTTCTGGTTTGGAGAGGTGAAGTGGCTCACTTAAATGGGGTGGGTATTTTTGGTTTTCTTTTTCCCTTAGCAGTGAACATCAGCATGCTGCTGCAGTGTGATCGGGAATAACTACAATCTTCTCTGGGCAAATGCTGGACATAGTATATTCATTTAGGCTATGAAGTACAGCAGTTCAGAGCTCAGCACCTTCCTTTTACTTTTGTCAAGTCTTTGCCAGGTATCTCCCTCTAGTGCTCACAAACAAAATCATCCAGTGCAGTAGGCCTATAGGTCTCCAGAGGAGACTGGTTTGATCCATGCTACTTGTTTTTCATCTTTTGGCTGCATCTCCATGCACTGCAGCCTTGGTATCTTTGCTGAAAAGAAGGTTAGTTTATCTCATGCTACTCTGTATGTGTTCTATACTTTTTCGCTGTCTGAACATGTAGTTTCCTCTTCATTCATCTGAAATGGCTGTGAAAAATTAGTCAAATTCGCCAGGGGTTGAATTTGGGATGGCTCAAAATGGCTCTGCATCCCATGGACTGAGCACTCTCCCACGAGGACAGTTCACATGCACTCGCATGCAGGGAGCTTGGCTCACTCGAGTAGCAATCTCTTCTTTTCTCTACAGAGTGAAATTAAAGCTGCTTTACCTTGTCTTGCTGCAGTACCCTGACAGGCAGGTTATTGATGCCCTTTCAGAGTTCTAATTTTAATGAGAGGTTTTTCACTCAAACAGGCCTGAGGGGCCTCCAAAGCTGGTCAAAGTGCAGGTGTTCAGCCCATCTCCATTGGCTGCGACTGTTCTGTTGTTGGCTCAGTGTTTTCTTCTCTGAGAAGCAGATGAATGGTAACTATATACAGCAGAAGCTTGAACACCTAAAATTAACGTGCCACATGCCTTATTAAGCAGTCATAAGAAACAATACTGCTCATCCTGAAGGTGAAGCCAGTCTGCAAAAGAGTTTGGCGCACAACCAGCTCCAGAAGAGGTTGGGACTGTTTCTTAAGGTAACAAAAAAAGAGAATAAACAGAAGAAACAGAGTAATAAAAGAGAAGGAATTTACATACAAATAAAGGCAGCTGGAAATAGATGCCAGTAATCCCGATGTCCTGGTTTACCTCATCAAACTGTTTCTTTTTCTCCTCACCTCAGTCTTAGCTGAGATGAAATGATATGGCATTGCATTCACACCTCCTTCAAGGCAGGGAGGAAGGTAAAGTGAATTCATACCTTTTGCACTTGGATGGAGCCATTTTATCCAAGTCTGCAGTAGCCAAGGAACAAAAAAAAAGGAATTGTAAGAATGACAAAGAATTGGAAAGAAAGTTCAGTCATTGAAATGGAGGCCAACCCACTGAGAAATGTCAGGGTTTATTTTTTATTTTTCTTATAGTAGCTGCTGCTTTTCTAATGTAGCTTTTCCCCCTTCTTTTTAATGAATTCTCTTCTCTGTGTGACTTGAGCCCTGAGGTTCTCTCTGGGGTTTTATTTAGTGGTACAGGAGAGAAAATGTACGTGGGTGCATATTATACACCTTCACGCATCACACCTCCCTCCCCATATTTGCACACTAGTAGATACAGTGGCCTAGGCAGATCTCCAGGGAGAGAAAATGGAAAAAATCCTCCCTCCCTGTAGCGACTAGTGTGCAGGTAGGACTTTTTATCATAAATGTCTGGAAAATACTGTTGCTCTGCAACAACTTGTCGAGATCAGGCTTGGGTTAATGAAAACAATGAAACCAGCACTTAACTTCCAAATGATTTCCATGGAGACAGCTAGACAGCAATAGTGTTTGGACTTTTTTATTCAATAAAAGTTTGAGTTATAAATATTCTCCATTTGTTTCCTATTTACAGTTGTAAAATATTTTAGGATAGCCTACCTGTCACCTGTCATTCAACGTCTCTATAAATGCCGTGAAAACATCATTGTGAAATAAAAATGCCTTATTTTCAACCCCCAAACCCAATTCCCACACACTCACCAAATAAAATCAAAGAGACAAAAAAGAGGAGAGAAGGAACTGGGGGGGATGGGGAGCGAGAGGAATACAGTACAGCAGGCGACAATGCAATATTTGCTACACAGTAGCAAAAGAAATGGGTACAAAATTTAGTCTGCTATGATGACAAGCTTCTCAGGACATTTGTTATAGACCAGCGCTGTCCGGTGCATTTCTGAAGGACCAGTTGAAATCCAAATTCGTTTTCATTGTTTTCCTGCAATTCCAGGCAGCGCTTGGATTTTCGGTTCTGGATAGGGCCTCCCTTTAAAGATGGGGGGAAAAAAAAAGAAGTGTTTGGATTAAACATTGTGAACTTGTTGCATTGCTACTGTGTGGTAATATAAATTAGAGAACATCCCAGTGTCCATCTACAAATGCTACTGTGAAAAACGCTTCAGTTAGAGACAAGGTAAGCACTAGCTCTGATTTGGAATGAAAGTTCCTTTGTCACAGGCTGGTTTAATCTCTGATGCAGTTGGGAATAGCCTCAATTGCCTGGCTTCCATTTCAGCAAATGGGATTTCTGGAATTGAGCTGCGTTTCTAGCCATGCATTTTAACCACGAGCCAAAGCTTTCCTGTTTGCTTCAGTTCCCTGACTTTGTGGCTCTGCTGCACTTCTGAACACCAGAAAAAAGGCAAACGAGGCCAGGGGTGTCCTGTATAAAGGACAACGTGCAAAAAATTGTTTATTCTTTGAATACTGAAACATCTTTTATAATCTTCTGTTGCTAATCCTCAGTATTGAGTCTGTTCAATTCTCACCTTAATACTTCTATGTTAAAGCCCAGCCTTCACTGCTGAGTTGCATGAAGTCTTAAATCACTGGGACTATCAGCAGTTAACTGTAGACCTCAATTACAATTAAATTGTCATGCAGGTGACGTAGATTACATTTCCCCCCCCTTTAAATCTGTTTTTAGTTGGTTCTTTCATCCTCTCTCCTGTCTAATAAAGGTAATAGATAACTTGTACGCATTATTATCTAGGAAGTTTCTTCCAAGATACACTGAGCAGAGTAATTGCACAGAAGTCTAAAAGTGGCTTTCCCTAGAGTGTCTTGGACCTGTGTAGTAGAGAATTACTGGCTTAATCTGCAAATCAAAGAATGGCATGTATTTAAATTACTTACTTGTACAATGGGAAAACAATAGTTGCTATAAAAATCCTCAGCCCCATGCAAAAAACACCACCTCATCATTTTCTTCTTGCATTATAAAGTCATAACTGGGAAAGATTGCTGTTATAATCACAAGTCTATTGGCATAAATATATTGGCTGTGTGCTGTTTTAGAGCAGGCGGTTCCTCAGACAAGGGTAGTTCATGCCATTCAGTACAGGATCTGCTTCATTCAGAAAGGAGACTGGGGGTCTCCTCCTCCCCTACCAGTAATGCTTAGTAAGTACTTTCTCCAACAAGTGACTTCTAAAAAAATTTTTGGGCCTGGCTAATGCAATACAGAATTAGTTTTGAAAGCTCCACATTTTAAATACAGCTTTGGGTGAGACCATTTCTAGAATAATCCACAAACATTAAAAACATGAGGCTCCCGTAAATCCTCATGGTAGGCCTATGTGCAGTCTTGATACAATTTTCACTGATTACTTTACTAGACAGACAGGCATACAGAGGTATTTTAATATACCTCCATAAGGAAATGCTGAGTGAACTGTATTTTCCTACTGCTGCATAACCATTATTGACATTCGTATTAATAACAGTAGTTAAATTTGGGTGTCTGGTGGGAGCATAAACTCTAAGCTATCCAAAAGCAATAAAACTGCAAGGCATGCAAGAAATTTCAAGAAACTACGATGAAAAATTAGTCAAAACTTTATTATATGCTATTTGTTCTCTTATCCTAGACATGCACCCTACACCCCCTTCCTCAGCCCCCCAACCTTCCTGGTTACCTTGGCCTTCTAAAGTTCACTGTAGTGAGATTGACCCCCCACCCCCCCATTAATGAGATCTGAACTAGGTTCTTCACATATAAAACTCTAAGGTAATAGATATTTTCTCACTGCAACAATAAATTGTTCTGTTTTCTTCTAGCAAGACACCATGTTTCTGTCATTAATGAAAGCTGGTGAGTATGGTTTTTTCACTGCACAGGCTCAGTGTTGCACGGCACCCAGGGCCAGCTGAGTTTAAACTGGAAACTGGGAATTACAGTTTACAAGTGTTTCTGCCAAAACCCAAACCCAAGTGTTTGTGTTTTCAGCTGATGCTGGAGGTGCTCGTGTTGCTCTAAGTTATGTTAACTAGTCTTGAGCCTTTCATTTATGAGTTGTCTCTCATCCCAGTTTCATTGTCCGAGACACCCTCAGCTCAGATCTTGCACTGGGAGCTTAAGAAAGTTGTCCCACTTTTTGTCTTGTCAGAAAACTAACCCATTATGGGACACTAGTTGAGGTCTATTACTTGCCTGACTTTTAAACTTAGGATATGAATCTGTGTATGGTATTTTCAGGCTTTGCCTGGCATTGCTAACTTACCAGCATAAGGGGAGAAACAGAGTTAATTCTCTCCATGTTTGTAAGGCATTACAGCTAAAACGTGTTTCTCTTCTCATTCCAACTCTGTGAAAAGAACTCTGAGGTGTCCACCTTGAGAACAGTTCTTATGCTTATGAACAGGAATGAGCTGGGGTACTCAAGTTTAGCTTCAGCAGCTGAGCTGGAGCCAACACCTCGTTTCTTGGCTGCACTTTGTGAATCCCATTCTGTGGTGCCTATTTTTTCTCCCCAGGGACGGTGCATGGGGTCTGGGTCACTTAGAACTCTGCTAGGTAGAGGAAGGTACAGCACTAAGGCATAAATATTGCCACGCTGAGTGGGAATTTTCCTGCTTAATTCCCATTTCTTTAGGTGGTGGAGGGTTCTTTCACTTGAATGGGCCCAAATGCCTCCCGGATTTGGAGTTAGATGAAGGAGGAGGTCACAGAAGAGACAATGTTTTTGTTTTTTTTTTTCTAAGTCTTGTAGAGCAGACGGAGGTGTTACACTAAATGTATTCATGTGAAACGCTTTAATACAGGCAGCTAAATAAACGAAGTGTAAACTACTCTTAAGGAAAACCAAACCAAGCAAGAAATGGGAAAAAGCACACGAAAAGCTCCCCGCACACCTCTTTTTCTGATGTGCCCTCATGTGAAATCTGCCCTCTATTTAACAGAAACAAGTGACTCAGAAGATAAAAAACCAAGGAAGCTCTTTTTGATGTGCTGGAAAGCGCTCTGCAGTGGCTACTGAAAATCACCCTGCTGAGTACCTTGGAGCTGCTGAATGGAATGTAAAAGAGACACCAAAGTTAAGTAGCAGCTAATATGTGGGAACTGAGGGTTGTACAGAGCACAGATGCTTTTAGCAGGATGGGATTTTTTCCCACAAAAGACAAACGTAAAGGCTCAAGCCCTGTTAGAACAATTTAGGCCCTAAGAGATGTGGGGCCTGTTCAGAACCATGACTTCATCCCTTGGAGACCGTGCAGGCTACACAGCTTTGTTTCCTTTCAGTAGGCATATAAATGAAAGTATTTCTCTGAAGAACAGGGAGTAAAGTTTGTATAGTATTTACTTTAGAATTTCCTGCAGTTAGTTTACTTAACTGTGTTCAGGTCCCCTTCATGTGCCTCATGCAAGCCTGGGACAGTGGTATTGGTGTGTTACCTCTGGATTGATGACAGCACACCTAGCACATGTCACAAGGCCTGACTTAGCGAGCTGTGCAAGGATTAAAGTGCATGAACTGAATAATTCCACTGAGAAAAGAGAGCAGGCAGGACCGATGCACCAAAAACTAATGCTGCATTTGCGCCTCTGACTGGCTTGGCCTCCAAATTAAAGTATTCCTGAACAGCTTCTGCAGTCTATCTGTTTTTTGTTTGTTTGTTTGTTTGTTTGTTTATTTGTTTGGCAAACGTGTTTGGCAAAATGGCTTATTGTATTACTACTCTGCAGGCCAAGTGAAAGCTGAGTTGCCTAACTGGTTTATTTTCCCCATTCTAGGTAAGATGTCTGCTTTCCAATTTAAGGGCAAAAAATTGATAGCCTAGGGTAACGCCTTTAATCATGAGACATAAAATGTAATTCAGTGGGCTGAAACAAGTTCAAGAGGAATTCTGCCCAGTTGAACAGAATTAGGATTAAGATCACTGATGATGAGAGGCAGCTCAATGGCAGTAGAAGTCTCAAGAGGATAAATAAATATCCAGGTCAAGTATTTTCTAAAAAATAGACTGAACATGTCAGCACTAACAAGTTTAACTGAAAACTTGCTTTAATTTGCTTTGCAAAGCCCATCTTCTGTGAGAAGCACAAATGCTCTCAACTCTTGCTGTGGCCTCAGACACATAGAAAACTGATTGAGTGCTTCATAAGTGTACTTTTAATGTCAACACTATCTCAAATCACACATCCTGTTACACAGAGTGGAAGACAATACTTTTGACTTCCTTTAGAGTTATTGTACTCTCTGCATATCTACTGTATGTAAGAGCTTCACTTTCTAGTCTTTCACTGGAATTTATTCAATAATACAGCATTTAAGGATGTACCTGCAAACCCTTGCAGTAACAGGATGGTCCAGCATGCCCGGTAGACACTCCCATGGGACTCTGTATGTGGAAACCAACTTGCTTTTAGACAGAGCAGAATGTTGCGAGTATATCCTTACATATTCTAGGTTAGAGCTAATAAGCTGTGCAAAGTAATTTGACAGTTTTTGCTGAACTGTTCTATGGCTTTTGTTTTGGTTTATTGGGGGTTGGTGAACACACAGTTCCCAAACCTCCCCCTTCCTGCATTTGTTCTGTAGGGTGGTAATGTGGGATGGGTCCTTTCTGGAATATTGGCCCTTGCAGAACCAGGCTTAGTTGAAGGCTCTCATACAGTTTTCTCTATTATCATCTCCTCTACAGAGGGCTACACATGGGACAGAGCACTGGTACAGCTTTCTTTCTGAATACCAGGGATAAATACAGTTTTTCTGTAAAGAAATACATACAGGGTATACACACCATGTAAGCTGGAACTTCAGCCCTTCCACGCTATTGCTGCTGCACACCTGGGCTTTCAAAGCATGTTACACTCCTCGGATAAACTGCCTTCAAAACAAACCATGTTCTGACTTCATGAAAAAAGATGCACCAAGAAACTTCTGTAAACATGTACAAAGCCAAAAATATCTGAACAGCTTATGTGTTTACTTGCAAAAAAAATCTCACCATATGGTTACTTATCCTTTGTGCAGAATGACAGGCCTTTAAATCAGGTGACATTTATTTGTTGCAGTGTAAAATGTAGTTTTACTTCTGACTGTATTTAATAGAAACTTCCCATTATATTTACTCTCTAATTTTCTCCCATAAGAATTCTCTTCAGGAAGAACCAGGTAGTTTGCTGTTCTCTGTTACTCTGAAGTTAGATTTCCAAGGTTGTGTTTTGATATATGAACTAAAAAGCACTAGGCAGGAAAATAAGAGAGATGCTGCTTCACATAGTTTAGGTATTTTAAAGGAAGGATTTGAATGTGGCTATGTGGCACCATTAAAGCTGAAATAATAATTCTCAAAATCGACCTGGCTTGGTCAATTTAGTCATTGTTTGACTCGGAACATCTGCTGGATGTAATCTGCAATATTTAGGTAGGTGTGATGGGGCCTGTGAGCTGCAAGTTGTTGTACTGGGATTCCAAATTTCCCAGAAAAAGCAACACAGAAACGGAAAACAGGGAGTTGGGGTTGTTGCTTTAGAGTGAATCAGGGCTTCATAAGCATGAAAGTTAAGACAGGGTTTGATCACTTGTAAAACTGAGGGATGTTGAATGAATATATTACTGAAAATCAGACTGATAGCTATTTTTCACAAGTTACTCTAAAGCATACACTTCTCCTTACAGAGTTTAAACCTATTTTTTGCTCATCACATTAAAGCTCATGTTATTCTACCTAAAAGAGGGGAAAAAAAAAAAAAAGTGCTTTTATGAGCTCGCCTAACCATGGATGATATTTCAGGAAAAGGTCTTACAAGGTTAATGAGTGTATCCAGTCTCATATCACATATACTACATAGATCATTGCATTCACTAGCCTATTAATTTTCTATTTGGACCTCAATCAGTGACCTCAAATATTTACATGTTCACTCTGCCTTTGAGGCAGAAAGTCTAATCTTCACAGTTGCTTTGATACATTTGAATCAAGGAATTATGGTGAGGTATATGAGACATAGATAATCTCCACTCCAAACAGAACACTTGATCTTCCCATGCATTTCCCTCGAATATTGGTGCAAATTTTCAGTGATTGTTACTACACCAAACTTAATCCTAAAGAAAATTGCTTGAATTTTACAAATAATTTTTGATGTTGATGCAGTGAGGAAGCGTTCTTAGGAAAGAGGGGATAATTCATCCCATACAATAATGAATGTATCTTCAGTATTGCCAATTGCTTGGAAATATTGGATGATATTATTGGGCTTCAATTTTCTGCTTTATAGTTGCAAGAAGGATATAGTTATATATAATATACAGGTAACTGATAAATTCCTTCTCAAATCTAAAGCAGTATAATAAATCTCACAACTTTGTCAAACGGGTTTGCTGGAAGTAAAACAGGCTCTCTAGCATACCCCTTGTTGTTCAAACCTTGCATCAATTTAATTTAACTATTTAAATTGAAATATTTCTTTGTGAAGTATATTGTTAGCTGTTGCTCTTTCTCAAAGGCACTTACTTCCTAATATATTTGGTGACTACTGTGAAAATAAGGTGCATCTAACTGCTATCATGTCCACGAAGTATTATATAGACCAGGGTTATATATTCAAAAGGTGTTTGTCAGCTATTTAGATCCCTATTTACAGGTAGATAGGCCTACCAGACAATTTTAAAAACATGAATTTCTTTTTTTCAATACTAACCAAAACTAATCGCTATGTGCAATGTAAACTGGTGTTATAACAGGGATCAGCCAAACCCTTTTTTAAGGAAAAAGTAATTTTTTTTCCCCTCTTCCTACACTCAGAATCTGTTGTCAAGCCACCCAAGCATTGGCCTTACAACCACTTGCTCGTACCCAATGCATAAATACTATAAAACATCCTCTGACACTGGAATTGGACACATCATTCAAGAGTTAAACCATGATTGAACTGTTGTGTCTCATTCCACTACCAAGATGAACACTGAGTGAGTGCTCAGGTTTTAGATAATCATAAATGCTGAATTTGTCTATTGCTGCAACCAATTTTTTTATACTGCTGCTGCAACAAATCAAAGGATGCAGCCTCATCTATATGTCCAGACTGGGTTTTAGTAGCTAGTGGTTTGTGCAGTCATTTTCTGTTTTGTTTAATCTAGATTGGCTACATGGACAAAGAACATGTTCTGAGCACAGCCCTTTAAAGGTGTAATAGTTAAATCTTCATGATGTAGCAACATACAATACCATTAATTTAAGTATTAGAGGCAACTAAACTTGGGAAAAGGAAATGCAGTTTCATACAGAGAATGTAACTGCGATAGAAAAAAATTACAGACATTTGGCATTAAAATCAGAAATGAAATGTATGGATTTATAACTATCACTAATATTTCTCCACATATATATAAAAATTTATCACAGCTTTATAACAGATGGTAAATAACAAGACTGAGAAAATAATACCTTGAAAAGAAATAAATTCAAGGCTTCACTGAAATATCAAGAAACTCTTCAGGATATGATAGTTTCAGCCCCATTTTCTGAAGAAAAAAATGCATTTTCAGCTAAGAAAATGGAAGGAAGTTTTAGAGTAGAATACATTAATTTCTGAAAAATGTCTAATAATCTTTCTAGCCTGGCTAAATATGAATTGTTGCTGTATCAGCAGTGGCCAGGAAATTTTCCTGACATGCTAGAAAAACATCCGCAGAAACAAATATTTACAATATGATTTTTAAAAAGAATTTTTGAACACTGTTCCCAGGGATGTATGTGTGGGTGTGGTACAGCGGGAAGCAGATGAAAAAGGGAATCCTTTATCCATACATAGCGCTGACAATTATGGCTAAATGTAGGATTTACAGCTGAACATATTGTTTGGTTTTGTTTTGGCAGCAAATCCAGATGATAGGGTATTATGTTGATCTTCTGATAGCTAGGATTACCTAGTAAGTCCTTTGTAGAAAAGGAAAAACTGGCTTTCTGTTGTGCAGTTGATAATGGTGTGTATTTTCTGACCACAGCTGCTGTCCTGAGTAACCAGTGAACACGACAAGCCATTTAGAAATACATTACACGCCTGTTTGAGAACTGACACTCATAAAAGAGTGAGCACCAGCAATGCATGTTGGTGAGAGATGATTCACAGATTGATATTGCTGATTTTATTTTTTTCTCCTCACTACTAGATGGGATGCTGTTCCCAAGTGTCTCTCCATCCTCTGCCTGCTGTCCTACCTGGTAGCATTCAGAGAACCCTCTATAGTAAGTAGTGACTGACTACTTAGAGCTTGAACTTTGATACTCTAAAGTTCTAAATTTAAATTTAAGATATGTTTCTAAATTATATAAGGTCACGACAATAAGAACTGCTACATTTTGTACCTCTTGTACTAGCAGGAGTGTTGGATAGAGGGGAGTCCTGTGTGTCTGAACATTTCTGGTGTCTTGAGTGAGACCTGGCCTATAGAAAAGTATCCAAAGTCATTGCTTTGTTTTCTGCAGAATAATTTTGCTCTGACTAAAAATACAAATTTTTTTATTATATAATTTTTTTTCATAGACTGGGCCATGCAGCAGCTGTCTGTGTAATGAAACAATATTTTGATACAAGTACGAAAAAGATGGGAGTGCTGGAGATGTTGGCTTTATTTGCATAATTTAAAAATACATTTTGCGAAAAGATCAGAAAAGTTACCTTCTTCCTCTTTTATTCTGAGATTACATATAAATGACTTCTGCAAACAACTCAAGCTTGATTTATCTGCCTTGATCTAGGCTTGCTTCAAGGTGTCTAAAGTGGAAGATGGAGAAAGGCAACAAAGATACTTTGAAGTGTGATGGAATATTCAGATGGCGGAGAGTTACAAAATATATGAACATGAAATAGAAAGAGGACTTGGCTTAGGATGTGAATGAAAATTAGTGGGACCTTACTTTAGTGATCAAAAGTATGAATACCTGTGAACACCAGTGAGAAAATGTTAAACTTTCTTAAGAAAAAAGAATTGTTAGATTAGAAACTTGCAAAATTGCTGTGATTTATGAGAGTACAGGAAACCTGTTGAATTCATTGTCACAGGCATCAATGTTCAGTGACTGAAGAGATGTTTTTGATGGGCTGAGTAAATTTTAAGAGTGCTGATAAAACAACTCTTTGTAGGCATGCTGAGATGATCATTCAGACAAATCAAGTCTCAATCTTCTCAAAGAGAGCACACCAGGGGTCAAAAAAGTAATCCTCCTTCTGGTCCTACAGTGAACTGCTGGCTCAGAACAGAGCTCATTTCTATGAAACAGCAAGCACTGACCACTGCCTGAGGCAGTCTTCTAGATGAGGTAATTAATCCAGTTAATTAATTTTCTGATCTGTAATGCAGCAAATTGCATATTCCTACGTTTTGCCTTTTTGTTTGGTTTTGAAGTAATCACCATTTTGGTATATAGAATCACAAAATTGTTTTGGGTGAAAAAGAACTTTTAGATTATTGAGTCCAACTGTGAATTCAACACTGCCAAGTCCACAATCAAACCGTGTCCCCAAATGCCACATCTACACATCTTTTAAATACCTTCAGGGTCAGTGACTCCACCACTTCTGTGGGCAGCCCGTTTCAGTGCTTTTAGTTCAGCCCTTTTAGTCAAGAAATTTTTTCTGATAGCCAATCTAAACCTCCCCTGGCACAGCTTGAGGCCATTTTCTCTCATCCTGTCACTGAGAAAAGAGACCAATACCCACCTGGCTACAACCTCCTTTCAGGTAGAGTGCTAAGGTGTCCCCTCAGCCTCCGTTCCTCCAGACTCAACACCCCCAGCTCCCACAGCCATCCCTCATCACACTTGTGCTCCAGACCCTTCACCAGCCCTGTTGTCCTTCTCTGGACATACTGCAGCACCTCGATGTCTTGCTGATAGTGAGGGGCATAAAACTATACACACTGACATCATGCACTTGAAACTCATGCCTAAAAGCACCTTCCTGCTTTACTCTCTTTTTCTCCTTGTGGAGGAAAATGTTGTTCTAACGTAGCATATATAGAAAACTGATGCAAAGAAGACAGCTTCCCATTGTTATTCACCAACCTAGCATAGGTGATACCTAGTTATTCATCTTCAGCCAGACAAAGAAGAAACTCCTTTCAGCACAATCAGGAAACCCAAGATTTTTATATTTTTCCATGTTGTTTTCCACAGATATAATAACAGATTCCCAAAGATTTTTGAGTTTTAGATGAGGGGAATGCCTGTTTGTTTGTGAGGTATAATTCCTTTGGAAAACAAAAATACCAGGTGACAATTTTATTTCTTTTGTGTGTGTGTGTTGTATACAATTAATCTAGGTTTTCTAACACAAATGCTCAGTATGAAGGAGGCTTAACTCATTTTAACCCAGAAACTGAACTACTTGCATTGTCATTATATGCTTATGATTAAACCAGTCTCTAGAGACCAAGAAATAAATTGAGTGCCAAGTCAAGGAAATTAGGAAATGAATCTGCACTGGTATTTCAATTGATCTGCATATTCTAACATGGGAATTTAGGTTGGGCTCTTTGGGACTCTGATCACAGTGTCTAGTTACTGAAAATGGCTTTTCCCCAGTAACCACACAAAGCTGATTATAACTGATATTGGGAAAGGAATGTCCTTGCTGCTGCAGCACAAACCTTTCACAGTTTACTCAGACAATAATGGAAATCATGTATTTTTCTGTCTGTTATATTGTCTTTGCTGTTGGGTTCAAGATACCAGACATAATGGCCTGATCATTTCACTGAAAAACAAACCCTCTTTTCTTGTCATATGCATCGTTTCATCCTAATTTATTTGACTTTATAGGGAACATTTTTCTCATCTTTGCATCTTGGACTGCAGGAGGTTATTTGGTAGCCAAAATTTACTGACATAGATACTGGTTTTGTCTCCACTGGAATTAAAGATGCAACTTTTACCGACTTGATTAGGACAGAGTTTTGTTTTCATCTGGGAAGTTAAAAATAATAAAAGCTGCATGGTAAAGGTAAAAATCCTTCCATCCATCTCAGAGCTGAGGAATGCAGAAGCCAAGAAGTGACTGGTGGAGTAATGCAAAGAGGGGACCAAGAACAGAGCTCAAATCTCCCAAAACTCAGCCACTTCATTTGGTAAGTGCTGGCTATCAGACAAGTTGTAGGAAACAATCTGGATCTGGCCATTCCTTGACATGCCTGATATTACAATGCCTTGCAGTACCTTGTCAGCAGCAGCTGTCATCTGTGATTTTTAGATGGAACCTATCTGGACACCTGAAATTAGGAAAAATCATGCAGAACTAGAACAAACAATTCCTCTGTAAATAAATTTGGCATTTAAAAATTATATGCTAAAATATGCAAATAGGGTATCTGTTTTGAAGGAAAAACATGGGTATGTGTTAACTTTCTTCTAAATTAATTCAGCACAAGTGTCTTTGGATTTTAAATGTAGTCCTCAGGAGAGTAAATACTGCATAATGTGATATGCTAGAAAAGACTTGAGATGCACCCACTAAAAGCTCATTTTACTGCTGTATTCACACACAAACTTTCTAGCTGGCAAGTTCTACACCTAATTTGCAAAGATTAAAACTTGCTATTAGAAAATTACTCCAAATAGAAGACTAAACTGCTACAATGGAATTTTGATCACTACTAGCTACAGCAATAATTGCCAAGCAAATTTAACATTAGTTGTTAAACACAATACTATATAGTAATATTTGTATTTCTTATTTTTGTACACATTTTTTGCTTATACATTTTCATGTTTAAGTTGAAGTCAAGTATTCAAAATGGAGAAAGACAGAATGCTTTCAGATTTTTGTACTTCTCAACAATTCCATTCTGCTTAAATGGGACTAAAGAGTTTATAGGCTTATAGTAAAACATAGTTCAAGGAGAATAAAAAAGAAGATTTTTAGCACACCTGTTTCTTTAAATTCATATTTTCATATTAAAATACAACAAGAATATTAAGTTGCACATGAATTAGGGACAAATTTAAAGCAAAATTAATATTAAAACATTAACTATCACTTTCTCATGTCTAAGCAGAACAATAGTTCAGATTCCTTTTCCTTCAGTGATAACACCTTGTGCAGTTATCCAATTAGTTAAAATATAAAGTACAGGCAAGCTAGGGTAATATTTGATCAAAAATGGGCAGAGAATATCTAAATATAGAAGAAAGTGCTGCTGGACCCATACACCACTATTTCTCTGGGGCCCCTGAAGCTTGTGGATATGCTCTTTTGGGTCTGAAGTTCAAAACTTCACAATTGGCAACACTGGTTATTTAAAAATCAGATAGCCTCACTAAAAATACAGGGGTTTAACCTAGTCTGTTGGTTCATTTAATTGAATAATTAGGTTCTGTTTTCCTTTGTATTTCTCCTGCAGGATCAAAGTCTGTATTTCTTTTAACAGGATCACAACCCCTTTCTGTTCTGAGCTGCCAGGCAAACAGCATTGCCTAATTATATAGCTGTATAGCAGTACAGCGTGTCTTATGCTACAAATACATACTGAGAGTATTTGCACCCTTTGGGGTTAGAAATAAAGCATAAATCCAAATTCTTGATAAATTAATGATGCTGTTTTTCTATCCTGTGGCTCTCATAATGGAAGAATCTGATGAAGCTGATGGGGACCACTATTCCCTTAGACACACACAGCTCTACTGAAATGACTCCCTCTGGTACCCTGATGTCCTTGGCTAACAACAACTAGAGTGGACATTAGAGGGAACTGGGCTCTGCTTCTGCACTGTGTGTGCTCAGCAAGGGGGCATATGAAATTGGTACACACATTCTCTCCTTGCTTCACAGGCCACCAGTTTAATCCTGCCATGCAGTCTGCATCCTGCATTCCTGTACTTTTCTGGGATGTGACTGTGGGTAACGGTGCTAGCTAGCAGTAGTATTGCTCTATTATCTCGTATCTATTTAATTGAGATCTAAATCATCATATTTATCTGTGGAATACTGTAACAACTCAGTAGTTAATTTGCTTGTCTGTCTTCGCTTTTCTTTCCAAAACAGTTCCTACTATGATATTTAGGAAATGACACCACAGCTGTCAACAACAAATTTTGTTTACAGTTTCTCAGGATAGCACAAACCGCCCCCTCCAAACATTTCTCAACTGGAAGACCTGCTGTGGAAACCTGCAGCACTAACTACAATCACAGTTTCCCACAACATACAGACCTATGTTATCAGTGGGTGTGGGAAGAGGACAGTGCTAATTGTAGGCCCTGCACATCCTCTCCCTCCCATGAAGGCTCCCAAGAAGGCTGTGGTGTCTGTCCCTACAGATGCACTTTTCCTACCTTTCTGTGGCAACCACACTGGAAGCTGAATTGATTTATGCAGTTCCAGAAAGAATTCAACATGGAGCAGCCTTAAAAGGATTAATCTCAGGGCTTTAGGTCAGCCTTATGTCCTTTCTTATACCTCTTTTTACACAGAGTTCACCTGTAGTGTTTCTCACAACGGCAAATAGTGGATAGTCTGACTAGCATAAGAGAGTCACAGGCCTATACCACTAAGTGGAAACATGAAAATACTTCAAGATAAAGAGTAATTACAGAAAAACCCTCCTTTTGTCTTTCTTATGCCTCTGGAGGACTCCTGACATGACGTAAGTGTACTTTCTCTCTGACCTGCTGCCACCCAGGTGAGGTACATAGAGACGAATTTCACTTGTAAGGCAGACATCTGACCTGCTATCAGCATTAAACCTGAGAAATC